TGGGGAAATATTATCTTGCTGTAGGACTCTGCTATTCTGCCAGAAAATGCCTGACAAATCCGTTGCTTCTTAGAAATACTGAAAGGTTGCCAACAAATAATGGTTCAGATCCCATACCCCATGAAGTGTGGGTGTGAATCTTACTGCCAATATGAGAACCTTATTGGCAGATAAATTGTAAGTATCTCTTAAGTGTTATTTGAGCTATGAGGCCTTTCCTTACCGTGGTAAGCCTCTGACCCAACTCACTCAAAATTTTCTTTGCCCAAAAAAAAAAAAAAAGAAGAAAATTTTGGGAGGCCAATTCGTAAAGTCGGACAGATCTACACCTCACAATGTAAATGAGATGATTGTTTTTCTGAACTCTGAAAATCATATGCTCTGAGGCCTATGTTCTGTGTTTTTCTATTTCTAACAAGGATAGCTACCCCAATAAAAGTTCAGTTTGGAGCGTTTATCTATTGCCCATGAGACAAAAATTGTGAGCAGCACTTTTTTAAATGGAACTGTGGAAAGAACTTCATGGTGCCTGAGCCAGAAGAGTCTAATGTCCGTACACACATGTATGTGTGCCTAAATGACATTATTTTTTAACTTTTGGCTCACATTCAAGCAACTAGCCGTTGACTTGTGTGGGTGCGTGTGTTTAAATTGGATTGAAAAAAAATGTTGCAATATTTTAGTGTACTGACAACATCATAATTTGAGCAACTGAAACATCAAACTGTTTGATACATATTTTTTAAACATTAGTTCGTATTAGGAGAAAAGACTGCTTTATGTTTTTTTTCCTGCTTTTTTCCCCAGAATTTACTTAACTAACTATAGAAATAAAAAATTATACAATTGGTTGTGCTTTACAAAAATAGGGTATGCTTGAATTGATTCACTTTTTTGGTTTGACTTTACGTTCCCCTATATAGGGGTGCAGCAGGACTGGACTCACCTTGGTTGCATTCTTGGCCAAATCAAGGTGGCGATGGGGCTGGTCCATCTACTGCAATCAGATCAGTTGGATTAGGAAGGGTTCAAATGATGATGAGACATCTTGCATCTGTTGGAGAAAATGCTCAGAATGCCCTTGAAGACTCTGCCTGGAGCCTTTGGCCTATGAATACTTCTCAGGCTTCTGCAAGTGGTTCCCGGATTCCTCCTTCTCATGGGATGCTCCCAGGGGGCTCTGATAATGTACACATGAGGAATGCTTCACGTTTTGCAAATGATAATCTGGCAAATATACTGGCTATGGCCGAGACTGTTCGGGAGGTTCTACCTCATATACCAGATGACGTGATTTTCCAGGTATGGTTTGTCTCAAGATAAGATGTGTTTTAGGATCCAAAATTATTGGTTTGTATAAGTAATTTTGTCTGAGATTCCGGTCGGGAATGCTTGATGGCAATTGAGTGCAGTTTATAAACCAGCTTTACACTTTCACATGCTTTGATTGTAAACATGCAACGTGTGGCCCATGTTATGTAAAATTTAGCTAATACCCATATTGGTCTATAGATCTTCTGAACTTCATCCTTATAATAAGATCAAGTATTGTCGAACCCAGTTATGTTAGCACATTATTGATGGGACGCAAGGACGAATTCTAGGAATCTTGCAATGATAATTAGGGGTTTTCGTAGCTACCATACTTGTAGACACATGGGGTTCATGCGTGTCTATTATTTAAGGAATGTAATTGGAATTTTTTTTCAGAATAGGCTTTGTATCAGGAAACTCTTCTCTCAACTTTCTCATCCAGTCTGATATTTATTTAAGTAGGTGCGCCTTACGTACTGTTTGGAGTCTGAAAAATGTAGACTACACTCTTTAGAGCTTGTGAATATGAATGGGGAAGCATGCTGTAGACTTCATATTTTATAGATATTGATTTCCTGAATTGTTACTAAAATGAAATTAAAAGTTAAGTTGTGCAACTCTTTCGCCCAAAGCATGTATCAGGTGAAACTCCAAATATGGTGTAATCGTACTGTGGAAGATTTAAATGTACGATAGGTTAGTGTAATTTGCTCGATGTTTCATGTTTAATGGAATCAATGGTTATTGGTATTCTTGTTTAAGATTATTGCTTGTCTTAATATATATTAGAATCTAAAGCTGTAGAGATACTGCAGGACTTGCAGAGGACAAATTCCGTGTCAGTTACAGTGAATAATCTTCTCCAAATGTGATATATAGCGTGATATTTAGAATTGGTTCGGAGAGAGAGAGTCATGGGGGTTGATCCCCGTTTTTCTCCCTCATGACCCTTTTATCGTCTTCCTCTCTCATGCGGGACTATAAATTTGCTGGAGATAGTTGAGGCGGGATGTTTCTGCATATGAGTAAGTATATGGAGAATTTGAAGTCAATCTCTTGAAATGAATTCAGATGAAATAATGAGGGAGAAAGATGGAAAAAAGCGGGACCTATTTGCATCTTTGTGTGTTCTTTCCCCTCTATTTAATTCAGGTGAAGTTCAATACCAAAAATACCAAGGAGGCCTGTAACTTCAGGTTTTTGAGTTACCAATATCCTTGGAAATTTATAGGCTATATTTTTTGTATATAGGATCAGCAATTATGCCCAAGAAAGAGTGGACAAGTATAGGTTTTATTCCTTCCTCTTTTTCTGCATTAATAAAAAATGATTCTGATTTTTCTATGATGGCAAATTGGAAATGTGTTTTTTTTTTTGGCCTGCTATTTTCCTTCTCATTTAAATATATTATTTAAGAGTTTTATTTTACCATGTGAATGCTGGGTTAATTGCCAAATTGATACATGCCTAAAAGATATCTTTGTGAACTTTGGATAAAAATATTTAATCTTAGGTTTTTATATGGGAAAAAAAGGCTCTTTGTCCTGTGTGTTGCAAGGCAAAGGAAAGCAAAGGTAAAAGAAAATCAAAGAGCCGGTACGGTTGTCAGATATGATGAGAATTAAATTGAAGGGGGTGATAGGGTTAAGCGATAAAAATAGGGAGGATGACAAATAAAGATCTTGAAAATAACTAAATGCCAAATCAGGATTTGTTGCCACATTTGGATAGGTTTTGACAATATTTAATTTGTAAATAACAATAAATTTTTTTGTAAGAATATCTGATTTATGATTTTGTGATTTTTATGATTTTTTTGTCGTTTTTTCATAAAAATATTCATGAAGTATTGCTGGACGAGCTGCTAGAAATGACAACATATTCAAGAGAGATGAATGGGGTATTAGCAATTATTCAGGATTTTCAAAGCTTTTTATTTTATTTTAACAGTAGAATGTAGTATGAATGTGAGCGTGAAATCCAATTCAAGAATTTGTTTGCAAGAATGCTAAAGTAACTTTCATAATCATAATAAAGCACAATGACTAATGAAGCATGAAGCTTAAACTTGAATTTCAAAAGGAAGTTTTAAGTATAAAATAATAAATACTCCTCCGGTCCTTATTATAAGACCCAATTTGACTTTTTATTTGGTCCTAATTATAAGACCCAATCCATTTTTTCTCTTATATTTATGCATTTTTTTCCAAGATAATCCTTCTAATAATGATAGTTTTAGCCAATATACTTAATTAGTAAGGATATTTTAGGAATAACAACACCTATTTATTATAAATAACCAACTTAACTTACTTCCTTAATTTCCTCAAATAAGTCAATTGGGTCTTATAATTAGGACCGGAGGAGTATGTTGTTTATGGAATGATGCGGTGCAAGCACCTGAAAGGGAATGTGTTAATTTCCCACCAATTTGAATCTATCTCTGTTCTGTTGTTAAAAAACAAAGTAGCAATATGGATATTTAAGTTAACAAAACGGAGGAATATACAAGGATTCTAACGAAGTTGAAAGACAAAGTTAGAAGGAGCATGGTGCTGCGGATTACAAAGGTAGGAGATAGAGAAGCAGATGAGGTATATGTCTGTCTCTTTAGAAAGTCATTGAAGATTCATGGAGGAAGAAGGGTGTTGGCAGCAGGAGAAAGGTTTCTCATAGAGAATAAGGAGCAGATAAAAATTTTTTTTTGAGTCTTTTCTATTATTTTGTTTTAATTGAAATATGAATTTGTTAAAAAATTGCGTTGATCTCGCAGCCAAAACTAAAAGTGTTAAAAAAGAAGAAGAATTAATATATACTTTAGCCTGTTGATATATTAGTGTTGAATTTTAGCTAAAAAAGTGGTAAATTTCTAAATCTTAATATTAAATTTTGAAATATCAATATCAAATTACTCAATAATATTTTCTCCTTTATTGAAACTTTAAAATGTACTATTATTATTATTTTAATTAAAATATGATTTTTTTTAAAAATTGAGTTGATCTTGCGGCCAACTAAGATTAAAATAATATGGCCATTAGATGAAACTAAAAGTGTTAATATTGAAAAATTAATGTATACTTTCGCCTGTCGTTAAGTTTTGATATATTAGTGTTGAATTTTAGCTTAAAAAAACGTTAAATTTCTAAATCTCAGTATTAAATTTTGAAATACCAATATCAAATTACTCAATACTCCTCCAGTCCTTATTATAAGACCCTATTTGACTTTTTATTTGGTCCTAATTATAAGACCCCAATCTATTTTGTCTCTTATATTTATGCATTTTTTTCCAAGATAATCCTTCTAATAATGATAGTTTTAACCAATATACTTAATTAGCAAGGATATTTTAGGAATGACAATACTTATTTATTATAAATAACCAATTTAACTTACTTCCTTAATCTCCTCAAATAAGTCAATTGGGTCTTATAATTAGGACCGGAGGAGTAGTATTTTGTCCTTCATTGAAACCTTAAAATTTTTTAATTTTTAAATAAAATTAACCGAATCTTTTGTCTTTTACAAATTTAGTTATTTTATACAGAAAAATTTAAATTTGTAACCAAATAAAAAAATTTTTAATCGTTCGCAGTGTCGGGTCATCTTGATGCTATCGGGTCGGATCATAGAGACACCATGTTTAGGGCAAATGGTATACTTCCCGCTGACCACTGCGGGGTTTGAGGGAGGGAGCTCGCTGTTGCCCAAAGCTAAAGCGTTCTTCTCTTCGTCGCAACTCCCATTTTCCGTTGCTTGTCGTTTGCGTCAGTCGAAGGGAAACTTAATAAAAGATCTAGAGGGAACAAACCAGTGCTTCCACCGATAATTTTCAAAATTTTGACAGTTCTCATGGAATTGGCATTGGATTGAAAACGTTTTGGCATCTGGTGGTAAACGAATCTGTGACGCCCATAAACGAGAATTCTACAATTTACGCCGAACTTTACTACTGAAGTTTGTAAGAGTGGAGAGTGCGGAATAGAGAATGGGGAATAAGGATTACAAGAGGCTAAAAGGATGTCAGAGCTTCAGGCAACGATTAATTCTCGCCACTCTCTCAAGTAATTCGATTATTATCGAGGATATTCGTGCAGACAAGACTTTCCCGGGTCTTCAGAAACACGAGGTCTCTTTTCTTCGTTTGCTTGAGAAAATCTGCGATGGTTGCTATGTCGAAATCAACGAAGCTGGTAATTTCAGTTTTTCTGTTGGCTTATATGATGTTTTTAAATTCTGAAAATGATTCAACTGGCTATGTGGGGGCTGAATTGGGTTTTATTTGTGGATAGCTACTAAATTGAAGTACAAGCCTGGAATTATCATGGGTGGGAAGAATCTTGCGCATGACTGTGGTGTTAGTCGTTCCATTGGTTATTTCTTGGAACCGCTGCTCGTTCTTGCTTTATTTGGAAAGAAGCCCCTCGAGATTAGGCTCAAAGGTAATTTATTGTGTCTTTTTAAACACGATGCATTTTACAGAATGACCTTTTAATCACAAAAAGAGAATAGAGTGGTGAAGCATACGCTTAACTTTGGTCGGTAAACACAAACTTTTGGCAATTGAGTGCAATTTGATGTTAATTCATAGGAGATAAGTTAGACCAATTATTTTCCACCTGTTGTTATCTTGTGATGTGATCTCTTATAATCACATATAATTTTTTCCACCCTAAATTTATCAGGAGGTGGTAGGATAACTGAGGATGATTGGCAACCTTTTTGGCAATTTGGTGCCAGTTGATGCTGATGCATATGGGATAAGTAAAGTAATTTGATCTATATACATAATAATATTGTGATAATTATAGAAAGTAAGTAGCTATTAATTACAGTTCCTCTGGCCCTTGATGATGTTTCATGATATGCTGTTATATTTGAAGTATGAGTTGCTATCTTCCTCTGAGGTTTCAGTTTCAAAGCGAATCAAACTTATGACTTATAATATGAAGTGCTATCTTCCTCTATATTACAGGGATGAATGTTAACTAGATTTTATGTGAATAATAAATATACTAACTAAATGATATACGGGATTCAAAGCAACAATGATGGGATATAACCAGATGATCTGTTCGTTATAGCTGTTCAATATTATGTTGTCAGGAATTACAAATGATTCTAAGGATCCGTCAGTTGATACTTTCCGCTCCACCACTCTGCACATATTGAAACGCTTTGGAGTCTCTTCTGATCGGCTAGATCTTAAAATAGAGTCTCGTGGAGTTCCTCCGAATGGTGGTGGGGAAGTCGTTTTGTCTGTGCCTGTTGTTCAGAGTCTTAACGTGAGTACCCAAGTTTATTACTAATTTATAATTATGTAATTTTATTTGCAATCTTACATATTTTTCCTAGCAGGCAGTTTCCTGGACTGATGAGGGCATGGTTAAGAGAATTAGGGGAGTTACATTTTCTGCCAGAGTGTCCTCTCAGTTTGAATATAGCTTGATTCATGCTGCCCGTGGAATATTTAATCATCTACTCCCAGATGTACACATTTTTACAGATCACAAAACTGGCCCACAAGCTGGAAAGTATGATTACTTTCATTCATCATATACTTTATTCTACGTTTGTTAATATATTTGTTAGGGATTTGGTAAATCCCAAGTTCTATTGTATAACCTTGTTTTTGGGTGATTTGTCCTCTTAATAACACAGGTCTCCTGGATATGGGATTTCGCTTGTTGCAGAAACTACTTCTGGCTGCTTCATTTCTGTCGACACTGCTGTTTCTCGTGATCATGCTGAAGAAGCCACTGACTTTGCAGAAGATGAAAAGAAAGACCTGATACCCCCAGAAGACATTGGTCAGCAAACTGCTTATGCCCTGCTTCAGGAGATCCAGCAGGGCGGAGTAGTGGATTCAACGCATCAGGTCTGAATTCTTAATTAAACCGGCCCTTGTTAATCTTTCTGGTCAATGTTTTTTATTTTATTTTGCTTTATGAAGTTCTGAGAGACGAAACATTTGAAGAGTTAGTTGCTGATAGCCTGATCGAGTTCAATGTCATTCTTTGATCTACGTAGCTAATCTTATCCAATGGAATAAGGCTGCTTCTTGTTGTTGCTTCAAGAAATCCTGTTTCTGTTGTTCAGTTGCATATTTAGCTTCAAGGAATCCTGTTTCTGTTGTTCAATTGCATATTTAGACGAAATAGGCCTAGCTCCTAGATAATGACTTTTCCTTGATGCTGGATAAAGTATACGAGGTTCCAATCCCTCGTCTTATTTTCTTCTTCCATTTGCTTGGACCCATCCTTTCTCTCTTTAACACTGTTGTTCGGTGTGTAGGGTCTGTTGTTTCTTCTCTGCTCACTATGTCCACAAGATGTTTCCAAGATTCGCGTTGGACAGCTATCCCCGCATGGAATAGAAACACTGAGAAACATAAGGGAGTTTTTGGATTTGAAGTTCGTTATAAAGCCAGATCCAAAGACTCACACAGTAATTCTGAAATGTATCGGTTCTGGCTTGAAGAACCTTTCCAGAAAGCTATCCTGAAGGTGATGAGTCTATGTATTACTATAATTTACCAATTTTTGTTTGTTACAAGCTCCTAGGACTCATACTAGAACATTTTTTTTATCAAATTACTCTAGTTGCTTTTCTGTTAGTAATTCACATTTTTGGGCTGCAATGTATTAATCCAATTGACCAAATTTTCTTCTATTGAAGTTTTTTTTTTTGGTCACCCTCTTTAATTGTATTCATGAGAAAGCGATGAGAAAAGTTTCTGGCCAGACCAATTATGAAGTCAACATAATAATATACAGATTTAAACAGTACGAGAGTTGTTTAGGTTCCGTTGTTTTTAAATGAATTTTAATGATTTACCATTCTATTCTGAGCAATATTTCTTAGAAAGTTTGAGAAGATTGACTCTGCTAGATGTCTTAATATTTCATGTTTTCATATTTTTTTGGATAATAGATTTTAATAATTTTGTTTGGTGTGTTTTTGTATTTGCTTTCATTTTAAATTAGATAATTTTTTCTTTTATTTTAAATTTGCTCAATGTGTGCTTTGCTGGAACAACTGACCAGATCACCATAATTCCTCTTCTGTTAGCAATAGGCATTAATCAAGTTGATCAAATTATATTCATTGGAAAATATTTTTTGTGTGGTTGTTTTTAATTGTATTCGAAGATTGATTACTTTTATAAGTTTTTTAGTTTATTAAAAGTAGTTTATTAAGGCTCGTTTATGTTCGTCACTTTCATTACCTTTAATCCTTCATTACTCCCTCACTTTTATGGCTTTTAATTTAGAACAATGAAGAATGTCCCGTCTTAACTCTGAACCAAAACCTTATGATTTGAGGTTGTTGATCATTTCACTCTATTATATATTACTTATTAAAGCCAATTTTATTCGACGTGGGACTTTTCATATCAATTTTAAGTTTAGTCATATTTGGATATTCTAACAAAAAAAGAAACTAATTTTATATACTTTACTAAACTTTCCACTCAAAATTCAAATGGTTTATTCTACTAATTTTACTCCTCCAGTGATCCTTGGTAAGCTGCTTTTACAACTTGTGCTGCTTTGAGATGATCCTCACTTCATCATAAACCAAGCACAAGCTTCTAAAGCTGTATCGTGTTAAAATACTATATCATCCGTGCATTTCCCCTTGGCAATTTCAGTATTTGTATCCGGATATCTCTGGGCCATGTTATGGAGATTTCCTTCTCATACCTTTTTTTATTAATTCGAAATTATATTTCATAGAGAAAAAAATAGCACAAGAAGTGCCGATAATTTCACTTTTCAAAATAATATCGAAATGTTTTTTGCCTCAAGAATATTGCTTTCTTGTTGCATTCAAAAAACAGAACATTACTTCCCTGTTGCATTTAGAAAAAAGGAATATTACTTCCCTGCTGCATTTAGAAAAAAGGAATATTACTTCTTTTGTTTTAGCCAACAAGGTTACTTCCTTGCAATGTATCGGGAGAATTATAATAAAATCTTATGAAAGAAACATACAAAAGTGTTTCATGATAATTTAGCAGTTTGTAATAATAAGTTTCAGAGCAGAAAATAATAATAGGTTTTTACTGTTTACTTGTTATTTGGAGAGATTAAGAAATTATTAAATTACTTAATTATAGCATATGTTAAATGATCTCTCTAAAATTTTTATGCGGATAAGTAGATTATATATTAATTTATGAGTGGAGTAAATTAGTTTGGAGAAAAATGATAAATATAAATAGTTTAAATTAATTTAGTAGGTACTATGTTCCTTTAATGGGACCTTGTTATGATTCTCCCAAACAAATATTTTGTTTCTTGAAAAATAAACACCCTTCTAGCTTGTATGGGGATGAACTTCGGCTTATATATAACGAATAGAATAATTATTGTTGCGTACAAGGACAAAACTGCATTATGCTGGTCACTCCTCACCCAAACGCCAAGGTACCGATGACTAATCATTTACTCTCTTCCATTGTGAATTATTTTTATATTTAATTATCTTGTTTTCTCTTGGTAACAGCTTGTAAGATTGCAAAGTAATGCATGGCTGCTTCAAAAATTATTAGCTTAATTCTTACCCTTAAATTGTATTAGTTACCTACTATAGAAGAAGTTTGGTTTTGGTACCCATTACAGTGATAAAATATATCAACATTTCAAAATCTACTCCCGACAGTTTAGATTTAAATTTTTAAATATATAATTTTAAGTTCTTAATATTTTTTGAGAAAATACTCTTTTGGTCTTATTTATAGGGTAAAGAAAAGAAATTTTTGGTCTTATTTATAAGAAAGAGAAAGGATTTTTTCATATGAATGTATACTTTTACCCTTTATTTATTATTATTTTGGTTTTGTTTTTATAGGGTATAAGGTATATTAAATTAAATAGAGATAAAGTTAGAAAGTTGAATTTTAATGCTGCTATGTGAAATATGTTGGTACTGACTTCTAAATAGGATTAAAAAAGTAATAATCAAGATAATATCTTTATTTTAAATTCTACTCCTAGACCCTATTTATAAGATAGAGGGAGAATGTTTCTTTTGGTTTTATTTATAAGTCATCTCATTAAATTTTTAGCTTCAATGTCTTTTGTCCTTCATTTATTATGGTGTAAATGATTATTTTTGTGAAAGGTGCATATATAAAATAGGGATAAAGTTGAAAAGTTATTATATTTTAATAAAGAGTTAATACAATTTAATGTTTTTTTTGGTTTACGTGAAACATACTAGAAATGTTCTATAAATAGGACTAGAGAAGTATTTACTACTCTCTCTGGTCCTTATTATAGGACATTATCTAGAAGAAATTTTTGGTTCTAAATGTAGTCATTAACTAGCTCATTAATGGCTACTTTCCAATTTTGTCTTTGTTAATAATTAAGGTTTAGGGGTTAAAAAGCTGACTGAACTCCTTGTTTATCTATCTACGTTATTTAAGTTGGGGGTAATCTTAAAAAAAATTTATTAATTTAGGACAGATTTAACGCTTCAATTCTCATTTCTTGGTATGTGAGAATTAGTTGTATAATAAAGACTAAAGGGAGTAATTAATTTCTTAAAAATGCGAAAATAATTAATTTTAGATCATCCAAACTTAATGTGACAGCACTCATGAGCAGCGAAACTAATCTCTATAAAAGATTCTCGAAAGACAATAATTAATCATATTCTTTTCTGATTTTTTTTGTTTTATATTGAAACCTTTTTTTTAATGTATCGTTTTATATGGCTACTAATAAAATTGTCTTCATTAAAGAAAAATCTATATAAAGGGAAGACAATTGACAATGTTCACGCTATATATGTATTTAAAAAACGCGTTGTTTAGCGATGATAATTATGCTTACAATATATAAGTTGCTAATATTTGATGCCTACGCTATTAACCAATTTTATAGTTCATTTAATTATTTTTCACTTAGGGTTGAGGGTCATACCGAATTTTGAAGTCTTCTTTCCAAGTGCATCCAGTACTTAGAGTATTTAATGGTTCATCTAGTATCTTGAAATATTTTTTTAGGTGTGTTCAAATACTCAAATATTTTATAGTTTATTTAGCACCTTGAAATATTTTACGAGGTAAATCAAGCATTCTAAAGGTTAGGGAATTTAGGGTGTATATTAAGGTTCTTGGTGTACCTAAAAACATATTTAAGGACACTAAATGAATCATAAAATATGCTAAGATGTTGAATGCACCTGAAAAAATATCAAATCAACTACATAATACTTTAAGGATGAACGCAATTGGAAAAATATTTCAGAGTATTGGATTAATCTCAACCCTTTAAGCTATGAAAGTGATTCAATATGTGAGATATGCCATGTGTATATGTGTGTGTGTTTGTGTATATATATATATAGAGTGTTCATCCTTTTCATTTTTCTTATGGACTGCTTTCCAAATCAAATATTATAGGTTGAAGATGATGTGATGGTTGATATGAAGAAAATGATTCGAGATAGTGGAGATGGTCAAGTGTCACCAGATTGTTGTATTTTTAGAGTGATTTCTCCAATGCGTGATATAAAACGAGATGCTTACACCCCAAAAATTGTGTCAATTGGTCCCCTTCATTACAGTAATGAGAGGCTGCAAGATATGGAAAGACGCAAACAAGTTTTTTTCAAAAGATTTACATAAAGAAGCAGCACAAACTTGGATGTTTTGATTAGTTTTGTCAAAAGTTCAGTACCGAAAGTGCATACTTCATATTCAGAGGGTATCAACCTTGGAGACATGGAACTTGTGAAGGTAATATTATTAGATGCTGCTTTCATCATTGAAGTTCTCTTCGTTGTGCATTATGAGCCGTTGACATTATTGATTGTGCTAAACCGTCACAGCCGTCATTAGTTAGAATTCTACCTGTAGATTTAGTTTTATTTGAGAACCAACTAGCATTCTTTGTTTTGGAAGAGCTATTCAATATAGCGTTTCCCCTTAACCTTCGTGCTGATGGAATCACTTTTCCTAAGCTTGTTTATGAGTTCTTTTCTGCTGCATTTGGACTTGAAGGGCCAAAGCATGATCTTAGTAATAATGCGAGCGTAAAGCATTTCACAGATTTGCTCAGGTTTTTGTTCTTACATGGAGAACCACCAACAACGGACCCATTCTTTCGCCCTACTGGCATTCTTTCGTACAGTGCAAAGGAGTTGCAAGAATTTGGAGTAAAGTTCAGGTCTAGCAAAAGCAAGAGCTTATTGGACATCAAGTTTCCAGGCCATGTTCTTGAGCTTCCTCGGATTTACGTGGAGGATCTCGTCACTGAAGCTTTGTTTCTTAATATGACTGCTTTTAAGCAGATCCATTGTCCTCTTACCCCTTACATTGCCAGCTATGTTACTTTGTGGAGTTGCCTAATCAGTACAAAGGAAGATGTGGATGTCCTCGTTCATAATAAAATAATCCGCAGCTTCATGGCTGATACTGAGGCTGTTACATCGTTTAGTATCATGGCGAAGAATTGCTTTCAAGCTTTCTTCATTATTTCTGAACACGTTGATATCTTCAAAAGGTTGAATAAATTCTGCGAAAATGGTTTGCGACAGAGTAAAGCAAGTTTGAGACATGATTATTATTGCCGAAGGATGCCTTGGCAAACTGTGGCCACTTTTGCTGGAACCATTATCCTAATTCTCACCATTCTTCAGACCATAGTTTCTATCCCCCAAG